TTGATTAAGGATTAATTGATCATAACCTGCAAACTGCAGCATTTGGTGGTCTGAGATAATATTTCTTTCTCTGTTGGTTAAAGGTTACTTTAACACTGGAAGGTATAAATTGAGAAATATGAATAAGTGAGTCAATAATCTTTAATATGCTAAGTGAGGGTAAAACAATAACTACTTTAATCATTGTAATAATTTGTGTTCCACTTTTCCTATTAATCTTGTCTGTTCCTAATGTACAATATTATTTATTTATATATATGTATACTTTAAGTATATTGCTTATCTGCCTCCTTTTTTCTCATCCTTTTCCCTTCTTGTCAAATATAAGGGCAAGGGTCATAGTCTACTTTTTAAACTGCTATACTGATGGATGATTGTATTTGATGTATACAACTTGATGTATTTGGAGGTAAATATACACCTGTGAAACCATTGCCACAATCAGTGCCATAAACTCCTACATCATCTCCAAAAGTTTCCTCCTGCCTCCTTTGTTTTGTTGCGGGTTTTTGGGTTGGTTTTGACCACTGATGCATCCAAGAACCCAGCACAATACTTGTCACATAGTAGATGCTCACAAAATATTTACTGAATGAATAATTCTCTTAAAGGTTCTTGTAAGTTGTGTTTTTAAGGTTTTTGAATCATTTAAGAAAAGTCAACTCACTAGACTTGTTAACTATAATGAAATTTTAATCGGTGTCTTGCTGTTTGAGCCTAACACAGATTGAAGGACATTTTCAAAGAGAGGGAGAGTATGAGTAGAGAATGATTCTGTGTGTGTGTGTGTATGTGTGTGTGTGTGTGTGTGTGTGTGTGTGTGTGAGACATGCTGTTTTATGGCTAATCTGGCAGGTAGAATTGTGTACTAGCATAGACTTCTTGAGAGGGCAAGCCCTCTATGAAATAGAGATCTATAACATTCCACTTCCTAGAGTTTTTATCCAAAAGGATATCAAGAGTGAGATAGAGCTCTTCATCCCTGGAGGGTGGGTCCAGGTTTATTTTCCCCATTTTTTGGCTGAGGAAACTGAAGCTTATATACAAGTTAGGTGTGACAGAATATTTTTGGAATCTCTCCAGATGCATCTTTCTTGGTGGGTGAACTAGCTTCTCTCTCTGAAACCTGTCCACTGCTATGACTTCAGAAAAAAAGACAAAATACCACCTCAGAAAGGATATAAAGAGAGAGGGTATGCAAAGAGGATATAAAAATAAGTTCCTTACAGGTAATGGGATATTTTCCCTTCCATGCTGTGGACTGCTGAGGAAGAAAGGAAGGAGAATCAGAGACGCAGTTTTTTCAGTATATGTATCCTGCTTAGAAAGTTCAAAGAAGAGTCCAATTTTTCCCCTATCACTGCTTGAAACTCTGGAGGAAAGAGCCTTTCAGACATGTGAAGTGACGGAATAATTGTGGCCTTGGCAAGTGGCTAGATGGATGAGACAGAACTTTGACTCCTAGGGGTCTCTTAGGCTTCAATGAGTGGATGTGTTGGCGCTTAGAAGACCAGAGAATTCGCAGAGGCCTGAGGATGCACAAATTGCTGCAGTGTGAGAAGACACATCAGAGGCAAATGGTCAGGACTATAGTAGGTGCCAGCATAATGTTCCAAAGGCCAGTGTGGACCCAGTGACACATCAGCTGGGAGGGGACCAAACCATTCACTAGGGATCAGGAGCGCTGTCATGCCTTGATCTTGCTGCCACGTGATCATATCAGCCCCATTCTCCCTATCTTTGGAAAGAGCAAAGGAAGAGAAAGGAAGTTGGAAAGATTTAACATTTATCCAAAAGAAAATGCATCATAGAAGAGTCCATTTAAAAGAGAAGAGACAATAATACCTATTATTGGCAAGTTTAAAAGAGTGTTTTCCATCCCCTGGTACCCAGTAAGGTGGATGTTTATGAGGAAGAGTAAATCTATGATAGAAAATAAAGAAAGCTGCATATTCTCCATATATCTAGGTAGTATTTGACATTTCCACCCCTGCTACCTGGGGGACGTATTGAAGCCTACCCAAGTGTGAGGGTGTAACCTCAATCTCAACCTGGATCCTTAGGGTGAGGTTCTATCCAGTATACCCTAACATTCTATTCTCGGATGTCAGCAAAATCTGGCTGCCCTACAAACAGTTGCTATATATAAACTAACTTAGCCTTGGATATTCCCCAAAACAGTGTAATTCATGGGCACACAAATGAGTGACTGGGGATGGGAAAGTGAACTCTGTTAAGCTCATGGTATGGTCTCTTTCTCTCTGTCATTTCCAATATGGACTCACAGAGGTTAGTCAGATGCTCAAAGCAAAAGAATAGTATCAATTTCCATGGGCTTCACACTGAGCAGGGCCCGGGGGAGGGGGGGCAAAATGTGATGAAGGCAGGTTTGCTTTTGAAACCCACTCAACTTTATTAAAGAAGAATTTGGTTCTCAAAGGTATCACAGCAGTAAGAACAGTCAGAATCGGCAGATTCAAAAGATGATTTTCATCTATCAGTTAGAGCTAGGGCTCAACACTCACATCTAAAGAGGAACACTAAATCCTATAATAAAAGACTGAGTAAAAAGCTGAAGGTGATAAAGTAGGAATGAATAATGAGCTATATTAGCAAAAAACAGACTTCAGTAAATTTTAGGCAATGCAGAACATTTATATAATTACTTCTGGGACTATTCTGAAAAAATTAAGAAACATTGCAATTATCTCAAACATGTTAGAATAATATAAAAACATTCCAGATAATGCACAACCATCCTTCTTGATATATCACAAATACTTACACCGTTTTTGGCTAAATTAGCCAAGAAAATTAGCTCTCTAGTTTGCTTTTACCTGTTTAGAGAGATTTGGAAGCATTGTGGGAGAAAAATGTGGTGCACTGGTATTTCAGCTGTACAAATGCAGTATTAGTCATGACCATCCTCAAACTAACATGGACTGTTTTAGATATAGAAATATCCTACTGATTCCAACTAACATGCACAGTTTCCCTCAAAATTGCTCATCTGTGAAATGAGTGTGAGAGATTTTTATACAATGTGGAGGAAATGACCTCAGTATAATGACTGAGTGAGGTACCATTTCATGCAGAGACCAGTTGGATTCAAGTCCAAGCCTAAGATCACCTGCCCATTCAGACAGTTTCAGCACAACTATTAGCAGAATTGAAATAAGTTTTAAACCATTAAAATCAATAATTCATCACTTTTTCCATGTATGTGCCAATCAAAGAAAAAAAGGGGGGTTGGGGCTTAGGTGAGAAAGGAAATAGAAATAAGAAAGGGGGAAATGGGAGAATGATGGTAGGAGGAACAGGGAAATTTGAATTGTTTTTACTCCAAGTAATTTCTAACTTCAAGATCAAAATACCATATATTTGTAAGGAGATCTCATCAACCCAACATCAGTAGAATGAGCACTCATTTTGATTCAATTCTCTAGTGTGGGGCTGGCCGGGTGCTCATGCACATGCACTCTCTCTGCATGCCCTCTGTGACCCACGATGTGCACCTATGGGTCACAGTGAGGGGGTGGACCTGATTTTCAGAGATGTTCACTGATCCATATACAAACTGAACTCAAAGACCTTGGCCTCGTTGATTCTGGACTAGCTCATCCCTTATTTTCTAGATTCCATTGCATTAGCCAGCCAATATTTTTCTTAAACATCACCAGGAGAGGAAATATCACAATTAATTACTGCCAACCTTTTGCAATACTGAATGGAGTGTTTAACCTAAATCAATAATGTAATTAATAAATGAATGTAGGTGAGCACTTTCGAGAACAAGGTTGAGGATTATATTCTTATAAAAGAGTGAGTTTTTCACTCCTAACCTCTTCCTGTCCTCATCTGCACATACCTTATTTGTCTTCTGAATGAGTTTATTTCTGGAAGTGGCGAACTACAGATTTCAGACCATGAAATCAGAGAATCTCAGAAACAAGTGGGCTTTGTTGGCCCTATTTCTTAATGTCATATGCCCTCTGGTGGCAAAGTCAGGGGACTTGCTGTGGTTTTGAGTTCTCCAAAGCAAAACATTTCATTAAAATGAAATTTAAAAAGCATTCATCCTAATTAGCTGCTTGTTGTAAATAAATATATTTTAAGAAACTAGAGCACACTTCAATGTAACCTGAAACTAAGAATGTGAAAAAAGCACGGAGTAGTGAAGGGTCTTATAGTTGACAAAACTGTCCTCACCCTTCTGGAGCAGCAGGGATTCCAGGCCTTTATCTTGTTCTCCATTTCTTCACCTTTCTTTCTGAAATAGAGAAGAAAACTTCATAATTGTACATGAGTACTTGTCACATGTGGGCCAACTCTTCTTTACTGCTAAATTACAGCTGATAACTTGGACAGAAAAGGAACTCCCTGACATCTGTTGCCTTAGAACAATATATACATAAAATTAGACTGTAAGACAATCAATGACCATTGAGTACAATCACTAGGAGTTTATTCATAGAAAAATTATATCATTACTTGGATCATATCCTCTGAAAATATGAGCAATACTTGGAAAATTAAAATAATGAGTCAGAGAGAGGGAACATACTGATCTGTGGGAGAATTTATATAAAAAAATATCTTTCCAGGGTCACCTGGGTGGCTCAGTTGGTTAAGTGTCTGCCTTTGGCTCAGCTCATGATCCCAGGGTCCTGGGATGAGCCCTGTATCGGGCTCCCTGCTCAGCAGAGAGCCTGCTTCTCCCTCTCCCACTCCCCCTGCTTATGCACTTTCTCTCTCTCAAAGAAAATCTTTAAAATATATATGTATATCTTACCATGTATATTTTTTAGCTTTTCATAAAGCAAATGTTTAACATTTTTATTTTGAGAAGAAAATATCCTTTTATTTTGAGAGGGTGTCAGGTTATTCCTTTAAAAACAAAATTTTATATAACCATAGATGGCAGGATTTTACTTTATTTATTTTTTTACAAACTGTTTATTTTCCGTCAGCCTTTTCCATTTTGTTTGCCTTTGTGGAAGAGCAGCTTAAGACCACTCAGTGGTTGTTCCTACCCATTCAGTGGCCTGAGCAGTGGGAGCTGCAGACCAGTCTTCAGGGGCCGGCTGGGCGCTCCAGTCTTCAGTAGGGAACTGCTGAATAGGCACCGAGGGCCCCTGCACGCCTTCAGACCAGTCTGCGACTTCAGGCTGAGTAGCAGTGAACTCAGGAGCTGGAGCCATCCATTCACCCTGAAATTCCGCCTTGGTCACAGCCTTTTCAGCGGTGGCCTGCTCTTCCTTTTCAATCTCTTCAGGATCTCTGTAGAAGTCGAGATCAGGCGTGACCTACCACGGGTGTTCTCGGGAAATGGTGCCACGCATGCGCAGAACTTCCCTGGCGAGCATCCACCACATCAGACCCTCTGAGCGAGCTCCCTTCTTAGGACCTTAGAGCAGGATTCATCAAGTTGCTCTGAAAATCGTAAAGGCCCAGTAACGTGTGAGGCCCAAGCAGTTAAGAAATATGGAGAAAAGAAAATACAGACCATTTAAAAAAGGATTTCTCCTTAAAGCTGACACATTTGAATTATACTTGTAGCAAGAATTACTATCAAACTCCACTCATTGGGCCAGAGACCCTTGTGGTGTTAGTGAAAAGACTTGCCCCTCATGTAGCACACTACCCACACTTGTGAGTTCATTGGCCAGCCAGCGGCCTCAACTCCAAGCTCTAACAATGTGCAGGATGGCAGGATTTTAAAATGCTTTTTTTTCTTTAGTATTTTTTTTTAAATTTTTATCCTGAAATAGTTTCAGATTAATAAGAATTTGCAACAGTGGTACAAAATATAGTATAAAATTTCCATATACCTTTTATTCAACTTCCCTAATTATTAACATTTTACTTAGATACAGTACAATTTTCAAAATCAGGAAATTAACATTGATACTATACTATTAACTAATCTACATACATTATTCAATTTTTGCCAATTATCCCATAAATGCCCATTTTATGGTCCAGGATCTAGATTATGATTAAATCAATAATGATTAAATTCATATTATACATATAAATGCCACAGAAGTGACATTGTAATTTTCTCAACTCATTGTACTTGGAGTCTATGATGTTGATGTAGCTTATTTCTGGTGATGTTAATTTTGATCACTTGGTTAAGGTAGTGTCTAATGGATTTCTGTACGATAAAGGGACTATTTTTCCCTTTGTATTTAATTAGTATCTTATAAAGAGATACTTTAAAACTATGTAAATACCCTGTACCTTATCCTATATTAACCCACTAATTTCCAAATGAATTTTTTTATTTCCATCATTTTTTGACATTAATTAAAATTCTGTAAAGAAGAGAGGTTTTCTTTTTTCCTCATATATATATATATATAGAGAGAGAGAGAGAGAAATAGATATTTATTTTATTCTGTATGTTCTAATCCTTTACTATCATTACTTTGTTCTTCAAATTGACCCAGATTTGACCATTGGGAGTCTCTTCAAGTTGATTTCTGTGTCCTTTCAACATTGCCCATTATTTTTTTGAGCACATCTTTTTCCTGCACCACAAGATGTTTCAGGCTAATTTTATACTTTGCCTGCTCCAACCCTGGGGTCGTTTTTCCAAGGATAACCCTAAAAATTAAAATAGTTACTTACAGTTACACTTTTTCTTATTTGTAACTCCTTTCTCTGACAGTAAGAAATCTGCTTTTCATTATTCAAAATTTATTTACTTATTTGCACAGTCCTAAAAGATACATGAACTAGTTTCAGAATAACTAACTCATGCCCCTTTGGGGGGTGGAGGAAGTGAGTAACTAGTATACAGTGGTTGTGTACATTTCCTTTTGTCTTTAGTCTTAAGAGCACATAGTCAAAATACTGTTTTCAAACTTATTTAGGTTTACTCTTTTCTTCCCCACCCCCTTCAGGGTAGTGTAGTTTGTAATAGAGTTAGACCCATTTGTTATTATTTGTATGAATTTTGGGTTCTTCTCTCATCCTCTTTGATTTGAATTACTTATTTGTATTTTTGGTGGATGAAATATTATCATGGTTTCTAAGATTCAGAACTGTGCAAAGAATTATACTCAAAGAACTGTTTCTTACCCTGTCGCCATCATCCCTTCCACCTCATGCTCCTCCCTCTTATTTCTGTAAGTAAGTAATCTTTAGTTTCAGGTTATCTTTTTTGGGGGGGGAGCAGAAATGAGTAGATACATGTATATTTTATTTCTCTTTCCTTTATAAAAGATGGCACATAATAGGTACTCCTTTGCACTTGTCTTATTTCTACTTAATGTATCCTGGAAAACAGTCCATCTTAGTTCATAGAAATCCTCTTGTAATTTTTTCTTCCTACAGCTGTGTAGATGTATGTAACTTATTTAACTACTCTCTTATATTTAGACATTTGCATTGTTTCCAATATTTGCAACAATGAACAATGCTGTGATTAATAACCCATGCAAATGTATTTTTTGTATTATTGGATGGTATCTTCTGGATAAATTCTTAAAAGTGGACTTGCTATGGATAAAAAAAACAAGACCTGTCTATATGCTGCCTACAAGAGAATCATTTGAGACCTAAATACACATGCAGATTAAAAGTGAAGGGATAAGAAAACATTTATTATGTAAATGGAAGTGAAAAGAAAGCCAGGGTAGCAATACATATGTTGGCCAAAATAGACTCTAAAATAAACAAAACAGAGGATCATAGAGGAAGAGAGGAAAAAATAAAACAAGACGAAACCAGAGAGGGAGACAAACCATAAGAGATTCTTAATCATAGGAAACAAACTGAGGGTTGCTCAGGGTTGAGGGGAGTGGAGGGATGGGGTAACTGGGTGATAGACATTAAGGAGGGCATGTGATATAATGAGCACTGGGTATTATATAAGGCTGATGGATCACAGATGTGTACCTCTGAAACCAATAATATATTATATGTTAATCAAAAAAGACTCCAACACAAAGACTGTAACAAGAGACAAAGAAGTACACTATATAATCATAAAGGGAACAATCCAACAAAAAGGTATAACAATTATAAATATGTATGTGCCCATTATGGGAGCACCCAAATACATAAAGCAGCTAATAACAAGCATAAAATATTTGATACTAATACAATAATAGTAGGGTAATTTAACACCCCACTTAACATCAATGGAGAGATCATCCTAACAGAAAATCAACAAAGAAACAGTGGCTTTCAATGGCACATTGGGCCAGATAACTCTAACAGATATATTCAGAATATTCCATCCTAAAACAGGAGAATACACATTCTCTTCAAGTGCACATGGAACATTCTCCAGGATAGATCATATATTAGGCCACAACACAACTCTCAACAAATTCAAAAAGACTGAAGTCATACCATACATCTTTTTCAACCACAGTAGTATGAAACTAGAAATCAATCACAAGAAAAAATCTGGAAAGAACACAAATACATGGAGGTTAAATAACATGCTACTAAACAATGAAAGGGTCGACCAAGAAATCAAAGAGGAAATAAAAAAGCACATGAAGACAAATGAAAAGGAAAACACAAATGACCTAAAATCTTAGGGATGCAGCAAAAGCTGTTCTAAGAGGGAAGTTTATAGCAATATAGGCCTACCTCAAGAAACAAAAAAATAATCTCAGATAACCTACCCTTACACCTAAGAAGAAGAACAAACAAAATCCAAAATGAGCAGAAGGAAGGAAATAATTACAGAACAGAACAGAAATAAATAGTATAGAAACTATAAATAAATAAATATTATAAAACAAACAAACAAACAAATAAATAAATAAATATAGAACAGATCAATGAAACCAGGAGCTGGTTCTTTGAGAAGATCAACAAAGTTGATAAACATTTAGTCAGACTCATGAGAGAGAGTGAGAACTCCAAATCAGAAATGAAAGAGGAGAAATAATAACTGACACCAGAGAAATACAAAGGATTATAAGGGAATACTATGAAAAATTATATGCCGAAACAAATCAGATAACCTAGACCAAATGGAAACATATATAACCTCCCAAAACTGAATCAGGAAGAAATAGAACATTTGAACAGACTAATTATCAGCAATGAAATTAAATTAGTAATAAAAAAAACTCCCAACAAATAAAAATCCACTACCAGATGGCTTCACAGGTAAATTCTACCAAACATATAAAGAAGAGTTAATGCCTATTCTCAAAGTATTCCAGAAAATAGAAGAGGAAAGATAGTTTCCACATTAATTCCATAAGAACAGCATTACCCTGATACCAAAACCAGATAAAGACACTGCCAAAAATGAGAACTACAGGCCAATATCTCTGATTTACATAGATGCAAATATCCTCAACAAAATAGTAGGAAACTGAATCCAACAATACATTTAAAAAAATAATTCACCATGATCAAGTGGGAGTTATTCCTAGGATGCAAGAGTGGTCCAATATTCGCAAATCAATCAACATGATACATCACATCAACAGGAGAAAGGATAAAAACCTTATGATTTCTCAATAGATGCAGAAAAAGCATTTGACAAAGTGCAACATCCATCCATGATAAAAACCCTCAACACAATAGTTTTAACGGGAACATACTTCAATATAATAAAGGTCATATATGAAAAATCCACAGTGAACATCATAATGGTGAAAAACTAAGAGCTTTCCCCCTAGGGTCTAGAAAAAGACAAGGATATCCACTCACCACCTTTATTCAACATAGTATTGGAAGTCCTAGACACAGCAATCAGACACAAAACGAAATAAAAGGCATCCAAATTGGTAAGGAAAAAGTAAAACTGACTATTTGCAGATGACATGATACTATATATAGAAAACTCTGAAAACTCCACCAAAAAACTTCTAGAACTGATAAATGAATTCAGTAAAGTTACAGGATATAAAATCAATATACAGAAATCTGCTGTATTTCTATACACAAATAATGAAGCAGCAGAAAGATAAATATGTGTTTTATTAATCTAAATAAATTCAACCTTAAAACAAAACAAAAAAGCCCATTTACAATTGCACCAAAATAATAAAATACCTGGGAATAAACTTAATCAGAAAGTACAGAAAGATCTGTACTCTGGAAACTATAAAACATTGATGAAAGAAATTGAAGATGACACAAAGAAGTGGAAAGACATTCTTTGCTCATGGATTAGAAAAACAAATATTATTAAAGTGTCTGTGATACTCAAAGCAATCTACAGATTTAATGCAATCCTTATCAAAATGCCAACAGTATTTTTCACAGAACTAGAACAAATAATCCTAAAATTTATATGAAACCACAGAAGACTCCAAATAGCCAAAGCAATTTTGGTGAAAAAGAAAAACAAAACTGGAGGTATCACAATCCCAGATTTCAAGATATGCTACAAAGCTGGGTAATCAAAACAGTA